TCACAACGAAGATCTTTCTGATAACAATGGTAAAAAAATAAAAAGCGGCTTAGAAATTCCTGCCCTAGACCTTGATCATGCAACTGAATATCAGCAGAAAGTCGCAAGAGAGTTTCTGCAGAAACACAGTGGAATGTTTGCATCTACACAGTCCTCTGGGCGGACAAACATAGTGCGATATCGGATAAACATTGAAAACGCGCAACTGATCCGTCAAGCCCCGCGAAGACTACCTTTGGCGAAACAAGAAGAAGGCGAGGAACTGGTATGAAAAATGTTGAATAAAGGCGTTATAGAGGAGTTAAACAGTCCATGGTTTTCACCTGTAGTGTTAGTCACCAAAAAGGACGGGTCGACGCGATTCTGCGTAGACTACAGGAAACTAAACGATGTAACCAAGAAGGACAGTTGCCCGCTTCCAGGAATTGATGACACGCTCACAATATTATCAGGATCCGCCTGGTTCTCCACGTTGGACCTTAAAAGCGGCTATTAGCAAGTTGGTATTCACCCACAAGATAAGGAAAATACCGCTTTTTTTGCCGGGAGCGGCTTGTATCAATTTACAGTAATGCGTTTTGGACTGTGTAATGCTCTGGTTACTTTTGAGAGACTAATGGAGATGGTATTACGAGGGCTAACATGGAAAACATGTTTGGTTTATTTAGACGACATCATGGTAATAGGAAAGACATTTGAGGAGCACTTGACCAACCTTGAAGAAGTATTTAGCCTAATGAAGGAGGCAAATTTGAAGTTCAATTCCAAGAAGTGCCTCCTCTTCCAAAAAGAAGTAGAATTTCTGAGGCATACTGTTTCGGCAAACGGGATCAAGACTACGAAAACAAAGATCAATGCGATTCGCAATTGGCCAAGACCAAGAGATAAACAGGAAGTTTGCAGTTTTTTGGGATTGTGCACGTACTACAGAAGATTTGTCAACGGGTTTGCTGACATTGCTGCTCCTATGCACAGGCTGACGGATTTAAAGTCTCAGTTTAATTGGACTGCTGAATGTGAGGAAGCCTTCAAAAAATTGAAGATTGCACTATGCCCTATCCGCAATCATCGGGGAAGTTCATCTGGACACGGACGCAAGTAACATCGGAATAGGTGCCGTATTGTCACAGGTGCAGGACAAGGAAGGAAAAGTCATCGAATACTTCAGCAGTGGACATTCGAAACCCGAGAAGAACTACTGTGCCACGAGAAAGGAGTTGTTGTCAATTGTCAGGGCTGTTGAATATTTCCACAAATATCTGTATGAACGGGAATTCCTGATTAGAATCGATCACGCAACCCTTACGTGGCTCCGTCAGATGAAGACTCCCGAAGGGCAAGTGGCTAGATGGCTTGAACGTCTCCAACAATATTCAAAATTCGACACAGGGCTGGTAAGCTCCACAATAATGCGGACTCTTTGTCGAGAAGACCGTGTAAGAACTGCAAACACTGCCACAAGATCGAGCAGCGTGAAACGTCGTTCAACTGTGGAAGGACAACAGTCGTAGAAGATGAAGCACAGCTTAGAAACGACTAAGAGAAGAACGTTGATATCGGGCCGTTGCTCAAATGGAAAGAAGATGGGGCAGAACAGCCAGCTTGGTCGGAAATATCAGACGAGTCACCCTCTTTCAAGGCGTTATGGGCTCAGTGGGACTCCCTGCGTGTGGAGAATGGATTGTTTAAGCGACCTTGGGAGAGTCCGGATGGGATGGGAAACATACCACCATGCAGTTGGTGGTTCCAGCCATTAGAACCAAGGAAGTACTTTGAGAAATGTATGACGGTGTTTCTGCTGCTCATTTCGGAATCAACAAGACGCTTTCTAAAGTTGGGGAGAGATTTTACTGGGTCCGTTACCGAGAAAACATCGAGAGCTGGTGCAGGAGACGTACGACCTGTGCGGCGGTCAAGGGACCGAGGACTAGAGCGAGAGGGCCAGTGCAACAAAACAACGTCGGTTCGCCTTTCGAAAGAATTGCAGTGGACATAGCAGACCCTTTCTCGGTGACCGAGGATGGGAATAAGTACATAATGGTCGTCAGCGATTACTTCAACAATTGGCCGGAAACTTATGCCATACCGAACCAAGAAACCACGACGGTTGCAAAAATGCTGATTGACAACTGGATCAGCAAGTTTGGGGCCCCAATGGAATTACATTCGGACCAAGGCAGAAACTTCTTGTCAAACCTATTGCACAAGGTTACTGAAGTCCTAGCGATACAGAAGACACGGACTACTCCGTTGCACACACTGTCAGATGGAATGGTAGAACGGTTCAATCGTACCATGGAAGAACATCTTTCGAAGGTGGTGGGCGAAAATCAGAAAGACTGGGATCGACACCGTCCACTGTTCCTACTGGCTTATCGGTCAGCTGTCCATGACACGACGAGTCAGACACCTACGCGCGCAGTTTTCGGAAGTAAATTTCGTCTCCCTTGTGACATCTTGTTCGGTTCTCCGAGTGAAAAACCAAAGGAGGTCATAGAGTACTTTGATGGCTTAAAGGAGAAGCTGCTGAGCGTTCACGAAACGGTGCGCCACAAGATCCGGGTGGCGAGTGACAGAATGAAAACGAATTAAAGATTGTCCAGAATTATGTGAATTTTATGGACTCCCAACGTTAATTTGTTTCACAGCTCAGGCGTCAATTCTATTGTACAGGTAAAGAGTCTGTCAGGGGAACGCCAATCTTTTCTGTACCTGAGTTCACCCCGCTCTTCAGCTAAACAATAAAACTGACAACAGGGCTGTAAAACAAATTAACTTTGGGAGTCCATAAAATTCATATAATTCTGGACAATCTTTACGACCTTAAGGTTAACTCGGTAGGATTGTTCATTTAGACCGCCTCATGAAGTACAACAGTGACACCGTTGACGTTTCTGATCGGGACGATCAGAATTAAGGAGGCGGCAGTGTTACGAAGTAAACCCATACGCCGCCCCGGTACGACGCCTATGGGTTCTAAATGTATGGCGACGATGACTCATCGTGAATGACGGGGCTGGATGGCGTTCGCTACAGAAAAACCTGGAAGTGGAACTCGCGATTGGTATTCCAGAAAGACCCTGATCTCCGACATGTAGAAGGAAGTATGGGTTTAACTAGAGGCCACCTTTGGGGACGATGGTTATTCAGTCAGCAAGTCGAGTCCACGAAAGTACAATCAAGTTGCACCCGAATTATTTTGTCCATAATCGCTATGTAATTAGTCGTGTAAAATTGAGTTATTAAGAAATAAATTTTTGAGTTTTACCCACGCCGATTTTATTCACCGTTCAACGTAACAGTATTCTGGGGGGCATGAAACGTTGAGAAAACATGACTGTATCCATTTGTCTCGTCGGGTGGATCGTATTACAATATTTTCTTAGCTTACACTCGAGAAGTAAAAAATGAAAACAATAACAAAATAATAAATAGGTAATTACAGCAAAATCAATGATATAGAACTGAAATGAAGCACAGGTAATTTGGCACACTTTTTAAAAGTAATAACAGATGTAGTCATTTTACGCTAATCTATTACTTAAACTTACGTATTACTTTTAATATTAAGTAACATTACACCATGTACAAGGAGAATGCAAAAGTACTTGGGGGTTCGTACCATCTAGAAAACACAGAACTTATTAAAATAAATAAATAAATAAATAAATAAATAAATAAATAAATAAATAAATAAATAAATAAATAAATAAATAAATGGCGAAAGTAGAGATTCAGGGCACCAACAGATCATTCCCAAGTATTAACGACCTATGATGGGACACTGTTGGAAACATAGTCACATTTTGTGATTCTTGGTTGACCTATCGAAATAACAATGTGCAGGCGATATAAATTAAAAAAAATATATATCAGCAGACACTTTTCGAAAATTAAAACTGAACTAGATGTAATAGAATTTTAAAACTAGGGAGTGATAATAGAACACATTTTGCAATTTAACTTTGAAACTGGAGAACCGAATGCTCTGAAATCTTGCAAACGTTTTATGCTTATCGTAAGCATGGTATACCGTTCATCAAAATTTACCCTTTTGTGTTCTTCCAAATGGAGTCATATTTTTTAGAATTACTTAGGTATACAAGATGAGTTAAAAAAGTAATGAATGAGACAATCTATTGAATGTCTAAATATAAAAAACCTGGTCAACAGTGTTGTCACGAGATTTTGTTGTCGTTTCCGAAATGAATTTTGAAAGCTGTAAACCGCTTGTCACATCGACTGTTGTGAATTAGGAATAACCTTTAAACTGAGTCTGACATCGAAATGACAACTGTCTCAAACACGATGACAAACACTATGACAGGCAGCCTTCTCGATCAGATTTTTAATTACACCCGTTATTTTATTGATCAAATCAAGAACGTCACTGCACCTATTCAAACTGATGAAGTCATTACAGTAAAATTTTGTTGTTGAGAAATTCACGTGAAACATAGGCATCGCATGCTTCTTTACCTATATTTTAGCAGTCCACATATATCTTTATTTTAACTTCTAGAGATTATCATAAAAAATTCTCAAAATTAAATTTTATAGTCTTCGAAGAAGCTGTATTTGTTCGACTCTACCTCAGGGAGGGAAGTCGTATCTAAATAAGTTTGAACAATTTTTTTTATTTCGATTTTAAAAGAACAATGTAAAGTAAAGATGTACGTTTGCCTTAAGAAAGAAAGAAACCCGCCAAAATTAGGACCTGGGGATGCAAATGGTATCTCGCCTATCGTTTACATACTCTACTGCACTGTTTTGAAGTGGACGATGTATTTTATACACAGACAACAAGTTCTAGTTTTTTCAAATTTTATTAACATCGATGACAAAGTACAGTATTTTAACATTAATTTTACTTTTTTAATATTTCATCAATGCCTCTAAAATACAGCCTAATAAAAAAATTAATACAGTTATTTTTGCTCTTCTCTGATTTACAATGTTTTGAAAACTTGTCTTTGATTGATGAATTTCATTGTCATTAATTTTGGCACTTTGTGATTTCTTTTTTTTTTGTCTTTATAAAAGATACATAAAAAATGGAACATGCAATAAGGCCAATTAGACGGTGTTAGCAGAGAAATGATTTCTGAAAGTATTTTATCCTTTTGATAATATATTTGAGAGAGACAATAATAACTGTCATTATAGTGTAATACTAAAATCATACATATATTATATACACAAATAACATTGGACCACGTCGTATATAGATATATTAAAATGTGAAAATTTTATATGAAAAATATGTTGTGTACAATTTGATCGATCTAAAGAGAATGTCACAGTGATAATTCAGTGTTAAATTGGATATATTTTACATGAGCAGTTCTTTATTTAGTTATTGTTTATGGTAATAATTATCTCCGTCATTTATTTATTACAGTTGTCTCTACATGTATAGTAATTGGCAACTCATGTTTAAAACACTTTTGTAGAAAGCAAATTTGATTGTGCATACCTACGTAGGTAGAATTAATCAAAACTATGGAACCAATTTAAATATTGCACAAAATATTATATCACGGTTATTTTAAATTTTGCATGGCTTTTGGTAAATTGGGGATTTTTATATGTATTTTTTTAATATCTACAATCATTAGTTTCTGACTTTTAAAAAGCGCTATAATTCAAAATAATGGGGGCTGCAGTACGGTACAGGTCAAAAAGTAACCGACAAAAATAGGCTGTATATGTATACAGATGTCCCAGAACCCCCCGATTAAACTTCGCGGCCTTAGATCTCGAGAACGGGTAAATTATATTGAAAATTTGTAAACGCCTTTGTTTTTAGCTTAAAGGGAGAAGCTGATATATATATTTAGTTGTCATATATTGGCAAGAAAACAGATGTCCAAACACAGTTACACCATTGTTTTTAAATGTTAACGTCAGGTTGAATTTTTTAATTTTGTAAAACATTTATTATAAAAATTGGGACGGAATAAAAGCTCTAGGTATTCCATGGCCAGCTCGCAGCACATATTTAATGCTCTTAAATTTATTTTTGTGGTGATATATAAAAGATTTGGTATATTTGTGACTCTTGCGTAATTTAGAACTCTTTAATTCTATTAACACGTTCGCGGACACTGACAAATTTTTGGTGTTCGCAGAATCGCAGTTTTACCGCTTCGGTATTAGTATAGCTAGAAATGTGGGAGTTGCAAATGTAATATTTATTACTTTTTTACTTTAGTTTTTGATATAAAAAAAAAAACTAAAAAATTAACGAAAATGTCAACATTTGATGACAGTTTTCGAAAAAATGCATTTGTGTAACATTTGGAATCGGTTCCACATTAGGTTTGGATGAAGGTCTGCATTGCCCAAATGTGGGACATTTTACAAAATTGAATCTGCCTTCCTGGGACAGTGAAGTTTTGTGTACTTGATTCTGTATAGACTTCTTGACGGCGAATCCCGCATTGACTTTATACGGAGCTCACAAAGTTGACGGAATATCCCGCTTTGTCCCTAGATATAGAGCGGCATTAATCACTTTGTCCGCTAACGGGTTAATCGCCACAGGTCGCCAACTAACAACAAGTTTTCTGTTCAGTGTGCGACAGTACGAATATATGCTTAAATGACTGCTTTTGAAACAGATATCACCAATTGTTTGTAAAAAAGTGGTAGTATATTATTTCATTCAACTTCAATTTTTTATATTATTAAATTTTAATTTTTTTATAGCATGAAAACGAAACAAACACCTTGTTTTTGTCATGTCTACTGAAACACCACCTGCTTAAAATTTAGCAATTGATAAGCGCTTTCGGTGGATTGTGAACGGATTTTAGTTAAAAAATTATATTTTGACCAGTACTCTTTCCTGTGCGAAGTCTGCCTCAGGCGTCTATTGTTAACCACAAATTTTTATGAGGGCTTAACCACCCACCGTTGTAAACTTGTCAACTTACCCCGAGTAATACAGATGGCAGTCCATCTGGACAAACCCCTTTCCAGTCATCTCGACTGCGGCAAGTTTACAAGGGTCTTTGGAAGTCAATAGACGCCTAAGGCAGACTCCGCACAAGAGTTCTGGTCAGAGTATGTCTGAACATGAACGTTGCCAAATTTACGATCAAGTGGTGTTTCAACAGAAATAGCAAAGACTATAAATGTTTTATATCACTGTCATCGCAATTTCATGAAGTATCAAAATCAATTAAAATGTGTACGCTGCAAATTAAAAACATAATTGCGACGCCAACCCTATGTATATGTCATATTTGTAGTGTACTAAATTAAGTTTCCCGAATTAACCTAAAAACAACAGCGTTTACACAATTACAATATTTCTATCCATTGCACACTTGTATATAAATAAGTAAAATTAACATAATTGAAGTGTTTTTGTTTTTAACTTCACCGATTTATCACACATGTATATTCTCTTTTTTGTGTAAACATATCCAAAGAATTCACAAATCACTGCTACGAAAATAGTAGATACTGTTCACTTTGTGTCTTCCAGAGCTGTCTATACATTGCGTGCGCCTGCTTTATTATAATTTTTTTTGATCAATTGTAAAAGCAGGTTTAACAATTTTTCAACAAATTGAAAAAAAATATGTCTTTACTGTTGTACATAATTTCAAATTATGAAATTTGGTGAGTTCGTTTATTACCACTCTGCAAACAAGATCCGTCAGATGAAACGTATCGAATAAAAACCTTAATAATTATTGCAAATAATCTTTACCAATTTTTAAGCATATTGACGAATTTTACCTGTTTAGCGAAACGCGTCGATTTTTTATATCAACTTTGGTGTTAGGATGTTGTATGTTTTTAATGCGCACATAAACCACATAGGTAATTTTGTCGATTATTGAAAAGTTTCTACAAAATGGCAAATATTTTAAAATTATTATCAAAAAAGCGAAGGTCCACTGTTCTGTTTGAAAAGAGTGCTTCATTATTGAATAAAAAATACATATTTACAATATTGTTTACCTTTGGTTTTAAAAAAAGATATTTTAAAATTAGGTTCATTTTACAATAACACTTCATGTTCTTCCTATGTCTTGAAGCGGTGTCTCTGCGTTTAGCCCATGGGATTTTAAATACATTTCCAACCTGTGTGTACCTCCATGTTAGCAGACTTAACTGTTATGAATTTCCACAACTTTCTCTATATAACGTAAGAGCGATTTTTTTTATTAGTCTATTATCGTCTTTTTAGTTTTTCATCACGCATTTTTAAAAATCAATATCCCAATTATTTGTGGCAATTTCAGAACGCAGTTTTCATCACTGTTTTCGGTTTACAAAATTATAAGCTACCTGGAAAAACTGACAATTTTCTGCCTTTTGCTGTATCTCAATTGGAACAAAAAACTTGACAATGGTTCCCGGGTAACTTCTAGAGTTTTATAAGCTGAAAACAATAGTGAAACCTGCGTTCCGAAATTTTCATAAATAATCGAGATATTCATTTTTAAATATACGTAATGATTAACTTCACCCAAATGTTAAAAAGAAGATGATAACAATCTAATTAAAAAAAAAGCTTGCTTTTGCGTTACATAGAAAAAGTTGTAGACAAGTTATACTTAAAATTTCATAACAAGAAATCTCTCAATAATGGAGATATTACATTCTAAAACTGTATTGATACCATAGGGACGCCTCTTAAGAATACCGATGCAATCAACAGTTTTTAAAGATTTTAGTATATATAAAAATGAGTACTATTTATATTTCAATAAAAACAACTAGCCACTAGAAGTAAACGAATTTGACAAAATGGTATGATAAAAACAAACCACATTGCTGTACTTCGCGCATTACTTCTTGATTCGTTCAAATTTGGTTAAAAAACAGACCATTACATTTATAGCATATAAGTCGACTGCGATTTGTCAACAATTCAATATTTTCAATTTAATGTTGCTATTTGCGGAGATTTATGTCTAAATTTCGAAAATAAATATTTTATGAATATATTTTTAAGTCTTGTAAATATTGTTGGTAAGCTTCGCCTGATAGATCTTGTGTATATCGCAATAGTGAGTAATAAACCATCAGAGTTTTTTTTTTATTGTAGAAAGTCAAGGTGTGATTGTTTTTCTTTATAGCTCGTACTAAACAGATATTGACAATTTAAAAAAATATATCTATTTTTTTAAATATACATTTGTAAAACACGTTCCAACTAGACAAGCATCCAGTTTTAGTAAATATGATCAAATAACAAATAACACTTATTTATACAACGAAGTATATGTGCTCACAGCAACAGGTTATAAGGCTACAACACAATGTGCAGGCGCAAAAGGCACATATTTATACACTGACTTTTAGCTACAACGTACTACTTGGTCACAGACAGCATGTTAGAATATATGCTTTGGTGTAATAATGCTATTAAAAATTTAAAATAAGTCTTTGATAGGTTATTTTTAAAAATCTAGTTTAACGTTTCTCTCCTGGAAGGATCGTCGGATTCCGGAGAAGAAATTTCATATTTATTATTAGCAGGTATCATTTCACTTAAGTCAGAATTATCTTTTACAAAACAGTACTTACAGCGCATTTTCGTGTCATCGTCTACTCTTACTGACTGCATAATTATGCATAAAGTTATAAAAGAAATCACGAAGAGAACTGATGGTATGCTAATGGCGATAATTAAATCTCTCCATGTTCGTTTCAAATCATATCGGGCTATTACCATAAAGGAGTTATTCTGGAAAGGACTAATTAGTATGTTGGTATTTGTTAAAAGAACATACTTTATTATAGTAACAAGGATAACGCGACTGTGCAGTCTGATTTTTTCCATCACTCCCATGTGAATTAAGAAAATCTAAACATTCCCCTTTGAGTGTATTTACGCAACCATCTAAATTGATATATAGTCGCGAGCTTTTGTATATAGTTAAGGCAGACTGCATTGGAACGAACTTATCCTGGGAATCTATTACTCGTTTCCATTTTCCACATAAATTCCAAAATTCTCTAAAAGTCATATAAGGCGACGGTATGTCTTCTAAATTATACAAGGTTCCGTTGATACAGTCAGTGGCACTGTAACGGAAAGAAATTGATGGAATCATGTGCAATACCTCAGCCACTTTTTGCCACGAAACGTACTGAACATGTTTCAAAAGAGTGCATTTTATAACTCTAACCATTGTTGGATAGTAACTAATAGAAAAAGAACATTTCGTCGCTTTCAATGACGTTAACATTGTAACAAATTTAAAAACATAGTATATACAAAACTATTTCGTGGCAAAAACTGACCCTTTTACCGTTTTACCTTATGCGTTTCTCCTCGATATTGTATAGAACCGTAGCACATGACACCATAAATACTTCATCAGGTTTTGTAATCCAAAACTGAGTAGGCTCAACTTCTTTTCCTTCTTGGTTACCATTAGCTTCTGTAGTTGCGACCGCAGAACTGCAAGAAGCCTGGTAAACTTTATTACCAGAAGAAATGAAGACGTTCTTCGTTATGGAGGTTATATTTTCTTTACATATTCTGTCACAGCTAAAAGGTTTTTTTATTCTCGTGCACTTCGATCCTTTACATTCGAAAAATCCATTTAATTTTGCGTTGTCTTTGTCACTATCAACTGTAGAGCCATCAGCTCGGTAATGACATTTGTAAATTTGCGAAATATTCATGCAATGACCAAGCGAGCAATTAAATAATCCCTTCAGAGAGCTACATTCTGTTCCGTTGTTGCAATTATGTTTCTTCAGTTCTTTTATATTGGCAGGAGGACAGTGAGATGTCCGGAAAGTTGTACAATTCAATATTTGTATCGTAGTGCCGTTTTGCCTAGTGGTCGCATGGATTTGTGGACAAAATCCTGACGTTTTGGTCAAACACCACTCACCACATGAAGCCCAGCTGCAGTTATTGAGCATACTTGTGTTTACAGTTTGGCACATGACAGGCCGCTCTTCAAATCCGGAATGAAAAGCTCTGTAGGAAGGAATGTAAATAACTACAGTTAAATAAATTAACGAAACACAACTAAAAACTACAATTAATTGGCAAAAACATATACATCCACAAATACGTTTGTCCTGTTGGGGAATCATGCGCGGCTTGCACTTGTTTCGACGGCCCATTTTTTTTTTGTTTTATTTTGTTTTTAGACAATTAAAGGCACCTCGTGTTTTGTTATTATTAAAACATATTACTTCACTACATGACGGGAGTTAACTAAGGAGAAAATACTCTTACACCCTGACGACGTGGAGCGTCGCAGCGCAAGCGTCACTCATTCGAATAAATTTCAGATGATTATTGGATTTCTAATGTCATCCAGAAATAAACGCACAAGTCGATAAATTCCCAAAAGAGGAAAATTCAATGAAAATATAAAACAACTTGCTGACTTTTATTTATTCAATATATCCACACATTTGTACATAATTTAACTTGAAATAGTACGCCATAACTAAAGTTCTACAAATTTCGGTCATTTTGTATATTGATACATAATATGTGGATCAACGTTTATAAAAACGACAATTGTATAAAATACAAAAGATGCGAAGCGACGTGACGAAATCTTATACGGCGGTGGTGCTAATATGAGTTGTCATCGTAGTCATCATCCCTGTAAATAAAAAAAATCTTCGATTAGAATGAACATTCTCTTGTATCAAGTCCCTAGTTGAAATATCGGTATACTGTGAAAAGGACATTTGTTAACAATTTAAACACAATATAAAAGATATGGTCTAAAGAGTGTAGACAGTATTTCACCTTTTGTATTTAAAGGTACGTGTCCACTGGAAAACAACTCTCACGAGAGTTCTGATTTTGATTTTATACCATCTTTAATTTTAAGTTGTTATTTCAAATTTCAAAGGTCTATTAAAATCTATTAAAAATACACGTAAAACAGACTTATCGGAGATCACTGTCGCACTTCGAAATGCGTTCGTATTTTGAGAGTCGCTCAGAAACTCCGAGAAACCAGGTAAAAACGATACGCTTACCCAGTTGAGGGCAGGCCCGAACATGGCTTTACGGGCTGATTTTGGAATTATTTCTCGCAAGCGCCCTCCAAGTGGACACTTACCTTAAGAATTAATAAATCACAGTTAAAGAACTTTTAATAAGATTTACTTGGTAAAATTTTCAGAGCGAAATGGACGATCAGACAAATTTTGGGTAGCGTTTTACGATATTTTTAAAATACATCTAAAATTTTACAACATTCTAATAATTTCGCAAAATTACTGGATAAATAAAATAAAATTAGTCCTTCGTCAATTCGGCCAATTAAACTTGCGGGTACGTAGAAAGGTAAAAAATGTGTTGTATAACTGTTATGAATTTTAAAACATTACGACACGAACTTGTTTACTCCAGAATCTACAATCACGCTTAATTTGCTACATACTAACTAAAAGATACTACGTTCTAGAAAGTGAATTATAATGTATTACGAATACGTACTCGGCAGGAAAGTGATGCATGTACTTATTGCAGGTCTTGCCACAACCAGGGCAATACCAGTAGCTAAGAACTCCAACAGAAGCAGCAAAGAGCAAGTTTGGAATGGTAATGGAAAGAATAAGATGCCTTAAAGTGTCGTCCCACGAATACCTTGCTACCACAATATCTGGATAAACTCTGCTATAATAACATGGAAAAGGGGTTCCAGCTGTGTTATATCCATACTGTCGTGCGAATTCGGAGCAATTAACAGAAGGTGGATATCCGCATCCTTCCGCATTTATAAGAAATCTTGTATCGACTACATCCCATTGAACATTTAATGGCGGTTTCCAATCCCTGAATGGTATTTTCGTATAATTTACATATATTTGATGGCATCGTGTTGCTTCACGTGTACAACCTTCACGACACGACGCCCAAGAACAATTCGTTAGTCCTTCAGCATAAACATGCTGCGTTCCGACACAAGTTACCGGTTCGGGTTCATAGTCCGCCATCAAACTCGTAATAGCAGGATCAACAACGAAAGGAATAAGAAAGAGAAATGCGAATACTGATATAAAAGCGGTGATTCCAAGACATAATGATGTATAAAACTTTGCAGTTTCTGCAATTGAGATGAGCGTCAACTGATTTTTTTCAATAATAGCACTCATTATATTAGATTATATATTACGAAGTATATATATATATATATAGTGCTACTAAAAATGACGCTTTCCCCTTCGCGATTAGATTGCTTTCATTCAGTCTCGATCTAGCAGGAGGGGAATGCCTGAAACAAAACCATTTATTAAATTCACATATAGAAATGAAGTTAAATTACCTACGTGATTGATCTCAAAGTGCCATTATCGAGTTTCCCCCTCCTCGATCTGTCATATTGTTTGCAGAGGTAGTCTTCTCCAAAGTTTCGTTGTCAGCAGAAACGCAGCTCTGAAAACGCATTTTAGCGTCATCTCCGACAACAACGGTCCGTTGACAAAGAATAAGTGTGAGACATGATACAACAAAAAGTACGGAGGGCAAAACGGACGCTACAAGGAACTGTTTTGTTGTGGTCGCCAAATCAAAACGTGCAACGACAACTCCTGGATTGTCGATCGAATAGAAACACGGGAAGCGCGCACGAGCGTTATGATCGGTTCCATCTTTACCATAAACGCGTAAAAACTCTTTACATTCATCACGTAAAGTATTAACACAACCTTCCAAATTTATCAAGAGTCTACTTTCGTTCGCAATTAGTAAATCTGGCTCCGGAGGCGCTATAATTCTTTTCTCATCCAATGGAATCGCATTGAAAACGCTCAAGTAACTCAAATATGTAAAATTTGTAAGGTCAGTCAATATATTATTTGCAAGCAAAGAACCATTGACGCAATCAACTGCAACTACTCCTTTAGTTGTATTTAGAATGTTGTAACAAGAAGACATCATGATGTTGTCTTGAGATTCATTCCATATTTCTTCACCACTTTCGAGATCTATAGCACGTTGACATTGCGATAGATAGACTTTATCACCACTCAGTAGTATAACATTTTTATTTCTAGTCGGAATATCAACACATCGTCTGTCACAGTTGTATGGAGTTCGAATTCTCTCACAAGTTCCTCTGTTACAGCTGTATAAACCATTTAAATCGATACAGGTGATCTTTCCTCGTCTACCGGAACATTTAAGAGGAGGATCTGTTTCTTTAAAGATGCACTCAAACGCGTCTGTTATATTTATACACATACCCATAGTACAATTGAACGTTCCTGTAAGGTTCTTGCAGTCGTCCGCTATACATCGACTTCTTTTAGCATTTTCCTGATCAATCCCATAACATGTTTTGTTCGCCGTGTTTGTACAATTCGCTAAAAGTAAATTGGATCCATTTTGTCTAAGATTAACGTAAATCTGCATACAAGAACCGGACGTTTTACTTAAACACCATTCGCCACATGACCCCCAATCACAGGTTTCCACTTGTACCGCTCTTGTAGTAGTACACATAACCGGGTCTTCTGATATCCCCGATTTCATTGCACGAGTTGACGGAACGTATATTGCGACTGTTAAATAAACTATAGCTACACTGCTAAGAACTAAAGTCATTTGACATAAACATATTGTGCCACAAATTCTGTTGTCTTGGGGAGGAATAATAAGGTCCTCGACAGGTACTGGCTTCTTTTTCGGCATTTTACTTCTTTAGATATCATACCGTTAGCAGCACATCATGTTCGAAACTAGTGTACGAATTTGATAAATGCGCATGTCCCACGCGCGCGTTAGTTGATCAATAGCTTACTGCGGCTGCTTCTAATCAATATTACGCGCACCACCTGCCCGCAGAACTCGGAAAATCAGTTTTTTTATGTGAAAAATAGTCTTAGTTACGCGTTGGAAATTAAACAAGGAGTAAAATTAAATGATGTAACTTAGTTGTGAATGGTTATTGATGGGAATACTTACGCGAGAAGGCAGAATCTCTCTGAAGTGGCGCCTCACATGGATGACAGCGTGCTAGTGCTGTTTAAGACGTCTGGCGGGGATCGGCGCCAAAATCGATACTGTAAATACGGACTGCAGTGTTCTGAACATCAGGCCAACCGACAGCACTTCGTGCATGTGTTCCAAGTAACCAGCTGTTCTGGAGCACCAAATCCGTCTGAATGTTAGTGATTTTATGCAAAGACATGCAACGTTGAATAATGTAGAGAGAAATTAACCGGAAGTGCAGTAAAATCGAATCAAGTGGGTTTATTATGTAGTTAAATTTAGGGGAAAAAAACTTTTTGAGTTTAAGTGGATTCGCGATTTATGCTGTGAGCTGGCCACAGCCGCTCGCGCCTGAGTGTGTATGCAGATGGTGGGGTCCAGGAATTTGTTTTATCTTGAACCGCGACCATGGAGGAGGCGCCAGAAATCAAGCAAACTTGGCAACAAAAGTTACTCTTTTACACTACAGCGTTCTTCGTACTGCTTGGCACTTTTAGCTTATTTTCGTTTTTATTCCTTGTGCCTTTCGTCATTGATCCGGCTTTTACAACAATTTTTATGGAGTTTGACGAAACTCCCGCATTATGTATGACAGTGAAAGCTGATAGACGGTTAGGTGTCTCTAATTGTAGTTGGACATCATGTCGGGAAGGGTGCACGAAAGACATATATGACTGCACACAAATTCTCGTTCATTATAAAAAAGTACCTCCGGATTACAATTTGACAGCTCCTCCAGACATCAGAACCCCACGTGAAGAAAGGAGCATACCTGAAGAGTATGACTACGAAAAGAATATTTCGGAGGAAGAACAGACCACCGGTCTTATGGGAGATGACTCCGAATGGTATTACCGTGAAGCAAGATTACTTCCGAACGTTAAGGGTTGTGGTTATCCACCAATGCTCAATTGTTCCATTTTTCTTAAATTGTACAAAGAAGTAGGTACTAATTACACGTGCTATTACAGCCGGGTAGACCCCAGCATGGTGATTAGCCATTTGGACATGTGGCAAGTCTACATGAACTTGGTCTATGCCATGGCAATTCCAATTCCCTCCTTTATCGTGTCCGTAATATATTTGGCGATTGCATATTTCAAAATATATAATGATGATGAAGAGACTGCACCACTCGAAAAAAATGCTGAAGCCATGGATATTGAAGGTGAAAGCGGACCAGATGCTACTCCCGTTCAACCTGCTAGCGGAGGAATAACTCCAGCCAGTGAAGCTTTCAGAGAAGACTTGGCTAGTTTCGGACATCACTTTAAAGTGGCGATGGTTGATGAGATGAGTCGTGACAGCTTTACCGAAGGTGTACTTTCGGTATCGATAGGAGGGTAAGTCACTATTTACTTCTTGCTCTTCTACGTCCCCTCATATATGTAATATATCGTTTGTAATTTTTACAGAAATGTTGGAAAAACAATGACTACAAGTATCTCGACCACAGGAGGTCCTATAGCTGATATTTAATTCCTGTCACGTCTTGGCATTTCTCAGGCTTGTGTGTTTTATCTTAATTTGATAAGGTTTAGGATAAACATACGAATAAAATTAAAAACAAAATGGAAGTGGTTATTACCTCTTCGCCACAGTTAAAGTATGTTTAACGTGGCTTTAAAAATATTTTTTAAATATAGTGTTTTAGGCCGCTACAAATGAATATGAAACGCTGATAACAGCTTCATTTATACAAAGGAGCGAAACTGATGCTTCAATGGTTGTTTCATATTACAAACATCGTATGTGCAGTACGTGAAAAAAAAATTTAAGAAAAAGACTTAATAACAAACACCAACCGGGTCTCATGTAAATTTCATAAAGTTCAACGAAATTGTAACAAAATTATTCCTTTGGGAATTTTAATTCCCTTCCAGATACGTACTTCTAACATGTTTGATTCATTTTCAAAAGCAATACTGTGCATTCGTTTGTGGGGTTTCAGTGATATAAGCTCCTGTTGTGCTACAAACATATTTATCCAAATTTCTAGTTCAATTATCAATTTTATAACATCCATAGTTTAAACACGTCCGTGTGTACATTGCGTAATTTTTACTGTATTTTTTAATTTAATCTTGATGTTATTGTACATAGAAATTCTCTTTAAAATTGTTACAACACTAATTATATTGTTAAAATTTATAAGGAAAAAATTATATTAATTTGTAAAATTTCATGTACAGTTTATCGACTATATGAAATTTCAACGTATTTATTGAAAATTGTTCAAGATTTTTGCCTTCTTATTATAATATGCATTTGTAATATTTTTAATACACGAATTCAACTAACTAACTCCCTTGATATGTTCACAATGCATGTCTTCAAAATAACCCAGTTGTCGAGTGAAATTTTATTGTTTACAATACCCTAAAACCAAAGTATCTTTATTTTCAGAGAGGGACCAACCGAGGAACATTGCACAGTAATGTTGCAAGTATCGATGCAATGAATTATTTTCTAGCACATGCAGTTGTCAACATATTCAGTTATGTTATCTTCTAATTAAAACATATATAATTTTAGGCAAGTGTCATTATCGGCAATGTTGTTCACCACTCTAATAGTGTCGATAGCTTAAAATCATTATGACTCACTGCTGACAATTTGTTTTACCTTGCTACTATCACCGATTAATTTAACTCATTTGTGATATTTAACACTGCTCATCTAGGAGTAAAAATATTAGGTTTCAGTAATACACATCACAAAAATATAATGTTTTTGTCTCTCAATTCTCAATCCCATCCCAATCTCCAAACTCTAGTAATTTTGAGAAAATAACGAAATATTTAAAAACATATTTGTTTCGTAATTCAAACAGCGATGGTAACTAGACAGATGACGTGTTGATGAAGCACAAGTGTATAAAAAACGCTTTTTTTCGACACAATTTTTTCTGTTCAAGATCATCCAACTGAATACTGGACGGAAATAATTAATAACTAACCAAAATAATTTTTTTTGCATTGACATTTTTTTAAAACTTTGTTGTCATATGTAGAATAAAATAAATCACCAAACGAGGGATCATTCGACTCCCATGATGTTTAATTTTTTTGATCCACCTGTTATTGTTCCGACGTTTCATGATTACAGCACGTCACCCGTGCGCGCAAGATTACTCCATAAGTTTTAAATTTCAAAGGGGTACCGCTAGCGATTCCAAACTAATGGGGGAGGGAGGAGAGGGACTGATGTTGCATATCGCAAAAAATTTGTTTTAGTAACAGTAAATTTATTAATTTTAATTTCTATAGTGTAACTCTATCAACGTTATTCTCATGATGTGATATTTTATCTTGTTCATTTATAGATGTTATTACTGCTGAGTATCAGAACTGCAAATTATAACAAACATTGTGTAAGATGTTGGTGCAGAGTACTGCTGATGAAGATGTAACCTATCAAAACCGGTTCACCAGTAATTACAAAAATTAGTAACATGAAGAGAAATCGTGTTTATGAATTAGAACTGAAAATAGTGGATATGTTGCAGATCGAAACCGGGATCTTTCACATTCAAAGCAGAGCGCATTGCCATTTTACTGCATTTCGCAAGTTAAAAAGACGTTTATATTTATACGTATTTAATTTTCCTTTAAAAAAAATTTTGCTTGTAGAACAACAGAATAAGAAAGCCATAATAAAAAAATAATAATAATAACAAATTTAATCCATGAGACGAAAATAAAGTTAAAACACAAACAAAAAAAAATCACAATTATCGGTTCAATAGTTTCAAAGATAGACGTTAAACAAACAGAAAGGAGACCTATATTTTCATATTCTAGTAGCTACGAAACGTCAAGAAAACATGAAATCAGTCATTCGTCAAATGAACGCTGTTAACCTTGCTTCTCCGCTTACACCTGAGAAGCAAAAAACGACACTTCGTCACTTTTGTTGAAATATCTAATATGTGATTATTTTATAAATTATTTAGATGTAACAGATGCGAATTTCTGTATCTGCTTTTTATTATTCGCAAGCATATCTTACGAGCGCCTATTTGCAAGCAACTTTTGATATCTAGTTGCTTTACAGAAATTACACGAATATGGACAAATGCGAAATCCAAATGACACGGTTTAATTCGAGCACATTTGAATGATACATTTTTTAAGCAAATGTCCCCTCCCTCCACCGTAGACAGAAATGTGCTATTAAAGTAAGTGCCCAGTCAAGCGGACGCCATTGCCGCAACTCAGTCTACCTGTGTATGTGTCATGGTTGACCACTTTGTTAACCACTTACTGAAGATCTCTGAAAACAACATTTAGGAATAATAAATATGCAGTGTAATTTGGTGGTACCGTTTCATTTAATCAAGTAGGATGACTCCTACATTAAAAGGGGTGACCTGAAAGGCCGATATGTCGGGTTACCACGAAACCAGGTGGCATGAGAACTGCTTCGGTTGCTGCGACGATTGCACTACATGCCTCCATCAAAGAAACAACAATGAACCTTTGTACGAGGGCCTCTGCAAAAGGTACGACCCTCGCTAGCTTTAGGCTCTGAGATGGATTTGTGTTTTTAGGTTTATGACAATGGGTTCGGTGCGGTACGGCATGCGACTGGGAGCGGTGTCGCCGCCACCACCAGGAGCGGGTCCGCGTTACCGCTCTCAATGCTGTTGGCCGTCGACAGCGACTGTCGTTCCTGGCTCCGTCTCCCGGATCCCGCTACTTACCACGACGCCTATAAATAACTTCGATATAATTAGTTGCGCAAATAGAGTGAGGATGACCGAGGATGCTACGTCAGAGCAACCTCAGCAGACGGCAGTGCGCGGTCATGTACTATATTCCACTAAGTGCCTGCTAAAGAGCCAGTTTAAACGGTGTACTTTGATGCGACCTCAAATCTACAGTCGGTTGTGCGAGTACGGCGACGGCAACGGTGAAGAAGACGACATATTGAACACTCTGGATCGGCTCCCTAGATTCCGCTTCGGCGGAAATCGGGCAAATTCTAACAAAGTGAGAGATTTCGAGAAACGAGCCAACGAACAGAGACTCAAAGATTTAACGGAGCGATTGAAAAGAGGACCCGTACCACCTCCGAGAACACGGCATCCGGTGAAAACGCCAGTGACTACCCCTGAACATTCACAAGATGACAATTGCATCAAATTCATTCCTTTCAGAAGTGCTTCTTTTTCACAAGTTGATTATTCAAGCGACGATAAGAAGTATATAAGAAAGCGAAATCCTAGTAATGACGGAACGGACAACGAAAGATTGGCTTGTCGAGGAGTCGCTACTTTACCAAGATCGAAAAATTTACGTGACATAATATCAGTTAAATCAAAAATACCAAATATCAATCAACGAGAATCTCCTTCCGTTTCTGGAGCAAGTACTGGCGACCCACTTTATAGAATACCACATTGTGAATCGGAAAAAAAAGTGAATGAGGAAAACTGTGAAATACCTGAAAAAGATACTGATAAAAAATTACCACCTTTCATAACTAGATGCAACACAATATCGACTGCCACTCTAAACACTCAAGAAAAAAAGCGGGATAAATTACGACGACGTAAAGGAATATATATATCCCAATGGCCGAATACTTATCAAGCTACTGAAAATGTCATTCCCAAATTCGTAGAGGATGGGGATTTTGCCTCTTGTCCCGACAACAGCATTACGATTCTTGAACATCCAGTTACAGATGTTATTAAATTACCGACAGAAGAAGATAAAAATTACGACATCTTCATGTGGACGAGTCCACAAGAAGAACCATTAAGTCCTGAAGATACCAACACTCCACCCGAATGGCCTTATAATCAAAATCGATCCCGTTTTGTTTCACCGTCTCCCGACGAGAAGGATAAGCCCTTAAAAGCACCAACAAGAGGTATGCATTTTGTTCGTTCCGATTCTTTGTCGGAAGGTGAACTTGAAATTGCAGAGCGAAAATTAGATCAAATCTCTTTAGTACCGTCAGATTTTTCAGACTCTGAAAGTAGACTAAGTCTTAATAATGATGTGAGTCCTTGTATTACGCGACGTTACTCTAAACGACCTTTACGAGGACCTTACGGCCAAATGTTGGAAGCTGAAATGAAGAAACCCGAAAGTGGGAGAAAGAGTCAATTTAACACTGATTTAAAGTTTTTAGAAGATCTGTCCTTATCAAGTAGAGAATCAAAATTAAAACATTCGAGATCACGAAGTTCTTGTAATAATTCTCTCGATGACACTCCTTCAAAGGGAAGTTTTAATAATTTATTAAGTTCACCGAAACAGTTAGCGGCTTTATCGAAGAGAAAAGTTAGTGCAGATAGTTTAGTCATTGGAAATGAAAATGATCAAAAGTTGATAATTAGTCACCAACGTACTACATCAAGTCCGTCTAAACTGGAAGGTTATACCAACGCTGAAGTATCTCATGAATTACTCGAACAATTATTAAGAGGAAGTTCTGAACAACTTGCCACGTCAGATACTAATGTGCAACAAAAAACCGTAAGTTTATCTTGTTATTTTGTTGTTTCTGTCGTTATTCTTGTTGTTTTGTTGTGGTAGAGGTTTTCTATTTTAAGAAACGTTAGACAGGCACTAAGAAGTTGGTTTCTGCTTTACGTAATGAAAAATTCAGTTGTAATTGTCGAATCCCAAATATTATTTTTATTCTACGGATCTTTACATAAATTAAAAATATTATCAGTCGCGGCTCATGTTGTGCAAAAATATCGTTCCCGTAAGAAAATAAAGATAGTTGAAACTGTGGGAGTATCGATTACGCTAGGTGTTAAATTTGTTCCCCTAAAGGAAATGTGACGTCAGCTTGGACCTTATCATTTTCCTATGAAACTTTAATAATGAAAGTAAGATCTGTAATGAAATGGCGTGATCACAGCAGCTGTATGAATAGAATGGTGTATAAATACAGCTTTTTTTATCTCCTGGGCGTAAGCTAAGGAAGTATAGTAATCGAGTCCATCGGACGACTTGCCACTTTCATGTTTTTTCGACGTTTCCATCTTTCTGTCTGTCTGTCTGGCGTCTCTGTCTATTTTTATTAGATGCGTAATTTCCGGAACTACTGGAACGATTGTTGTCAAATTTTGTATGTATATTAGAAATACCATAGATGGTAAAACGGTAACCAAAATTTGGCTAGTAATCTTCACCACCAATGGAATGACGTCATCTCCAAAATTTACAACGATATATATTTTTTATTTTATAAAATGAAATATTCGCTCACTTGTGATGTATGAATCCGTGTTGAGTTTTTAGTCTACACATTCAGATTTTTGAAAGAAAAATCAAAGTTTTATAACATTTTACAATTTAACTTTGAAACTGCAAAACCGAATGCTCTGAAATCTTCCAAATGTTTTAAGGTTACCATAGTCATGGTAAACGTTAATCAAAATTTATTTGTTTATCCCCTTCCAAAAAATCGATGACGTCAACTCAAAAGTTTGCCTAATAAATCCTCTCTGAAATATGCAAACTATTATGACTCTATACTTATGATTTATCAGTGTATTCATATTTTCTAGAATTACTTACAGAGGGTGATTTAATGAATGAGGCATTTTATTGGATTAATTAAATCAAGAACGACTCACTCCATTTTCCCAAAAATTTGGGAATACTTACACGTAGAATACAGTACTATTATTATTAGTATTACACTGCATCTATCCAAATTGATGTATATGTCGTTACAAAAACGTTGATGACGTCATCACAAAATTTTGAAATGGAAAAAGTCACTTGAAACAAACGCGTAGCACGCTTAGTTACCTTTACTTTAACAGAACATACATGACTTAAAGGGAGGGAAGTTCTCTCCAAATAACCTGCGACCAATTTTTTGATATTTTCCTAATTCAAACTGTATAATAATGAACTGTGCAACAATCAGTGGTTCGGATACAATATTCATTGTTATTAAAGAGAATAGAATTTTTGTGTAGTACAATTTGAAAATTTATAAATGCCATATGATCAAAGTGAATGAGCCAAAGTGTTAGATTTTTTAACCCTCATTGTGTATTTTTGTTAATCTATTGGATTTTGTCATATAAAGCTACGTGACTTCCTATTATTGTGAGTCAAATTTAACGTCAATGAAAAAAATCTTCGAAGTGGGTGGGGTTCGGTCTGTTTGCTCTATTTCCTGAAATAATCGGTGAATAGAAAAATCCAAGCGTCCTTTTTGGAGAATGTGACTGCCTTAAAAAATAATTACGTAACCAAACAAAAATAATGCCGTACCTCAGAGCACATTTTATGTTAAGTAATTTTGGTTTATGCCAGTGTAATAAATTATAATTGTCAGGAACATTTATTGATTACTGTGATTGTCGTTTGCAGTTATGTCACTATTAGACAATTAAAATAACTGGGAAGTGGAAATGTTTATTAAAAATTGATTATAAAAATAAATGAAGTGAGCCCATGAATCGTTCTATAGAAGTAAAATAATAAATTACTTCTTTTTACTTCCCAAAGCGTAAGCTAGGGAAGCATTGCTTGAGATGCGGTACATAGAAATATCCAACAATTTGATGCCAGTTGTTATTTAAATTTCATAAAATGATATACATGTATATTTGCGGTTTATGAATCCACCTCGATTTTAACCCTAGGCGTCTAGATTTTTAGAAAACAAAAATCAAATTGTATATCAACATTTTACAATTTAATTTAGAGACTGCCAAATCGAATGCTCTGAAATCTTGCAAACGTTTTAAGGTTATCGTGAGCATTTTAAATGGTTAATCAAAATTTATCTATTTATCTCCTCCAAAAACTTAATGTTTATTTGAAATTTGCAAATTGTTATCAAATCATTCAAATTTTTTAGAATTAGTTATATAGGATGATTCACAAAAATTAATGGGTGAGGGAATCAACTGAAGAACGGCTCACTGCATTTTGCCGAAAAATTGGAAATACAGTATTATTGGTAGTCGTATAATCATTAGAAAATTGTGTTATGAAAAACTCACTTGAAACGGAGGCATAGCGTGTTTGTGTTTTTTTTATCTGCACACATACCTTGATTTTAACTTATAGGGATTATCAGAAAAAAAATCTCAAAATCAAATTTTATAATTTTTTAAGAAACTGGATTTGTTTGATTGTACTTCAAGGGCGGGAGAAGTATAAATAAAAACCAATTTTCTGTATTATCTTAGCGAAGGGAAGTACTAAAACAGTATATTTTTAACGAATGTATAATTTCGTGTTTCTCGACATACATACAGCTTACAGAAAAATGTAAGAGCCTCGTTTTCGCACGGCGGCGGCGTCTGTCTGTTAATGTAACTATCATGTATTGTCTACTATCTGTCTGCTGGAAATGTATGTTTGAAAAGTAAACTGTAACACAAACGGTATTAATAGATTTCTAAATCTCATTTAAAGAAGTAGGTCAGGCTGCACATTTCAAGTCACATTTACTTAACAAAGAGATTAAGATGACGTCATAAATTTTTCGGAGAGAATAAGTAGATAAACTTTTGGAACAGTTTTACAGGACATAAAATTTCCACGTAATCGATTGAGTAGTCTCTAAAACTATTGAACTCAAAATTTAAATATCTTAAGATTATCACCTAGGTCTTAAAACACTCACCAAAATTTATTATTATTCTCTGTATCACTTCCATATGGTGAGTGATGTTTTTTCAAAATTTTGTGACATACTCTGGCTTCTCTTTGGTTTATTAAGCCGCATTTAATTCCCCATCGTTGCTATAAAAATATGATGTATTTTATTAGGAATAGCAAATCAAGTTTTATTCAAATTTTGTGAAAACATTTTCTTAAAGAACCGTGTGGCTTTATTCCTATAAATAGGAATAGGAGCACGTCACCGTATTTCTTTTTTTCCTTTTTTTTTAAATTTTTAATTAATCTTTTTGTTATATTATTTTTCCTGTAATTGGGTGGTTGTCTAACCCGTTGGAAATAAATGCATTATTATTATTATTATTATTATTATAAAGATTAAAATATGTATCCTAACAAACAGTGGATAATATCTTAATAATTATCAAATAATGGTTTTCCCTAAAGTACAGCATTTATTGTGTTTATTATAGTGTTTTGAAATGTTGGCCACATGGTGCAAAAAATACACTATTATTTAATCGATTTATTATGTCGATTATCAATCTTAAACTACATCTAGAATTTGACAGTCACCAGTTCTGTATTTTTAAAGATCATCTCTTTAATGGTACATACTGTCAACACACAAACTTTTGTAAAATAACTTAGTTCTATACCGGTGGTTTATGAATCCACCTTCATTTTTTATTGTAGACATGCAAATTTTTGAGGAAAATTTAAAATAACAAAATTTTACTAGTTCACTACAAAACCGACATCTTGGAAATGTTTTAAAGTAAGCACGGCAAATCGCTAATCAAAATTTATGTATTTATTCTCTCCAAAAAACTTTATAATGTCATCTCCAAATTTTGCTGGTTAAATGTACCTAAAATGTGCATAGTATATAGTACTTGGGTTTATCAATGCATTTTTTGAACTGTTTGTAGACGGTCACTGAAAAAAAGTTAATGAATGAAACAATTTATTTTATATATTAAATAAAAAACAGCTTACCTCATTTTCTCAAAATTTTAGATGTGTGTTTACCAAAAAGTTCATGACGTCATCAGTTCTAGGGATTATTATTAAAAAACGAAATTTGCAAAATCAAGTACTTCAGGTCCAAAGGAAATTATGTCTAAAAAACGATGACAACAGGAAATAAACTACTAAATACATTGAAAAAATTATTTTAAAAACAAATATCGCATGTATTTCAGGATATATTTTGGAAAATACGTATTTAATATTTTTTTAAAATAAACGTTATTAACTTTTTGGTGGCAGAAAGTATATTCTCCGAATTTAATTTTTAATACTAACCTCTATACATTAAAGTAAAAATAAGAGTGAATTATGAAACTACAAAGAAGTAAAGAACCATGTTATACGTGTGTAGCAAGTGACTTTTTCTTAACAAAATTCGGTGACGACGTCATCAAGTTTTTGGTAAGTACAAAATATAACAGTTTAGAGAAATTAATTATAATTCTAATAACAACTATACTGTGCTGTCAGAATTTTACGAACATAAGATAAGACGTTTTTGATGTAATTAATAAAATTTATTTTATATAGAATTTGTTTGGGAAATTTTTCGGTGAAATGAATACATAAATTCTGATTAGGGGTTTACCATGTGTATGTAGCATATTCTTTAAGCGCTTCCGAAATTTTCGAGCAGCCCGGTTTTGTAATTTTCTATGTTAAACTGTTTGTACATATAATATTAATGTTGTTGTACAATTTTTAATGTAAATGTAAAGTAAAATCAAGCGAATCCAGTTTATTAGAAAAATTATGAAATTTTATTTCGCGAATTTATTTTTTTACGAGAAGCATGCTAAACAAATATTTCAAGTGAAATTTTCATATCAAAATTTTGTGATGACGTCATCAACATTTTAGCAAAAATGCATAGGTATATCAATTTGAACGAGTTAAATCCTTACACCATTAACTTCTCAGGTTCGTTGCAAAGTAATTTAATTATGGTGTTCCTACAACTTCGTTAAAACATCAAATATATCAGATTCGAGTTTCTTATGGTTGTCAATTGAAACGAAGACCTCAAAATATAGAAATCTGCTTTAGTTTAAGAGGTCTGACCGATTAGAAAATTCGTTTGAATTCACAATTCAGCCAGAAAAACTGATCAAGCAATAGCGTCGTCCCGTTAACGGTTCTCTTCGTCTATTCTTGTCGATTGTCTCGTGATTTTCTTTTCAAACCTAGGTCACGTACTTGTTAGTTGTTTGTAATCGCTTTTCGCGATGTATCGCTTAGCAACGCTGGTGTTAACTGTTGCGTCGCGACGTCTCGCGTCGGCGCAAGTTGCTCTTGGTAGTATATACGACATGACCATAAGGTGTGGCAGGGTACAAATGTGATGTTAGTCGAAATGAGTGGTCTTAATTCCAGACGCGAATTGCGATTGCGTTTAGAGGGTTGTTCAACAGGTGAAGAAAGTGAAGATGAGTCACAAGTGACGCTAAACCTTTCGGACGCGTTATCGTTTTCGGTAAATTTTGATAATGTTTAACGTATCTTTACGTACTGTTTGTTTACCAGTATTTGTTTATATTTCAGGATACGAGAACGCACGTGGTTGTTGAGCTTTACGATAACGAAAGAACGTACGTCGACTCCCTCCAGATTTTAGTTACGGTGAGTTATACGATTGGAATTTGAATGGATTATTATATTTGTTTTGCAGAAATATTTAGAACCGTTGAAAAGTCCCGAGAATACCAATCTTTTGGATTCAACACTCGTCGATGAAATTTTTTATCAAGTAATTTGTTCAACATTTTCGCGTATGTTGTTCATTTGTCTTTTTTAGATACCGTTTTTACTAAGTCACCATCAAACGTTTCTAGAGGAATTGAAAAAGCGTTTAGAACATTGGGACTTTAAACAAAAAATCGGCGATGTTTTCTTGGAGATGGTAATTAATTATGATCTAAAGTACCAAAGCAATTTTTTTTCTATTTTAGTTTTCCAAATCTGCTGTTATCGAAAGCTATACAAATTATGTGAATAACTGGAAACGAGCGAGAGAAATTATTAAAAGTGCCCAACAATCAAAACCTGCTTTTGCTAAATTCTTAGAGGTAAGTTATTTATTTTGTAAATCGGCAACTTTAAACGTTAACAATTTTAGACTACAGCTAGAGAACACAAGGGAAAATTAGCATTAGATTCCTTGCTTATAAAACCAATTCAAAAATTTCCCAAATATGAGCTTTTGCTTCAAAGACTAATCAAACACACGGATGTGGTGCATCCTGACCACAGTTTGTTACTTGCCGCCCAAAAAGAGGTTCATGATCAGCTACTGAAAATCAATTGTACCGAAAGAGAAGCTTTAGAATTGGAACAACTACGTGAAATCGAAGGTCTAATCGAAGGTCTCATCGAATTAGTGTCGACTGATCGTCAGTATTTGCGTCATGACTTGGTCAGTATGGCGGCTGGAGGAGGAACGAGAAAAGAAAGAGCTTTATTTCTTTTTTCGGACTTGTTACTTGTGACCAGCATTAAACGAAGGAGTGGAACAATCAGGAGACCAACAGGTCAGGGAAGCGTTACAAGCACGCTTGAAGCAAATAAGTACAAATTGCTTATGAAAATAGCATTAGAAGATTTAGAAATTGTAAAATCCAAAGATGAAAATTTAAGACAAGTGATGATTGAAATAGAAAATTTGTCAGGTGACGTGGGGATTTTGAACCAAATTAATGAATTAAGTTGGTCTCTACATTGTAATCATAGCCAATTAGATGATCTTGTTAGAGATATGTTGACATCTTTGAATAAGCAGTTAATGGAACAGCAAAACAGTGACTCTCAACTCTCTTGTTTAGATCTGACGCTTAATACATCGTAAGTATGCGTTTTGCCAACAGTTAAAAAATTAAAATAAATGTTCCTCGTTATACAATATCTAGGTTGTTATGACTACATATTTTTTCTGTACTCAACGAAGTTGTTTATTTTTTCATACTTTCCAATCGATTGTTAGGCAAATACGAAAATGCAGGATTCATATTTCAATGGTATGCGGTTGATCTGTTGTCAATCTCTCTTTCTACTTGAAAAATTTTGAACAAATGATTGAGATTTCCAGAACTGGCAATGGTTTCTTTAAAATATTAATCGTACTTCAAGGTTATCGTGAATATACCACTACTTAAAATGTGATCTCTAGTTTTAAATTTACGTATTATCCTAACCAACTATAAATAATCATACAATGACATTTTAACAGTACAGAAGCAGATTTTTACCGGACTCTTTTCACATCGCAGATAGAGAATATCCCAAAAAAGAATAATAAGTGCGTGAATTGTTTTACTTTTTTGATTATTTCACAAATTAGCTAATCTAATTTTCCTGAGATTTTGAAAATACATCAGTAATATTTTCTACTTTTGTCCACATCAAAAAGCAAATGGGTTCATCTCACAAAATATGAAATATTTTTTCATCAAAAAACACACAGAGGTAAGCTGTGTGTAATTAAACTCAGATATCTTTTATCATTTTTACTTCCCCACCGTACGCTAGAGAAATGATGTAATAGAGTCGATTTAACGAATAACTAATGTTTTGTCAACTCGATAAAACCAAAAATGTGCCATCGTCATCTTAAATTTTGATAAACGTGATCTGATACGAATTTTTCACACATAGTTTTTCATACATTTACTTTTTAGAATTTTAGAATTATTTTGCGTCACTGAACCATTCTACTGTCACGTTCGGGACATTTGTAACAATAATTTTGTGTAAAACTTAGTCATATTAGTTTTCTAAAGCGCAAACGATCACAATGGGGGCTACCTTAGAAAAATTGACAGTTTTTTGAACAATTTTGGTCAATTTGTTTTGCAAATTCTGTCCAAAGAAGTTTAGAGCATTTTTTTTTAAATAACTTGTGTATTACGTACATGTTTTTTCCCCATCAAAAAGTAGAGACGTAATCTCAAAAAAAAATTAAAATCTTAATTGAAAAGTTTCCATTTACAAACATGCGGTTTTTTTGTGCTTTAGAAGTTAAGAGAGTAAATAAATTTCCAGAATTTTGAACTTACGGTATCGTAGTAGTTATAAAAAACGGTCAGTTATTAAACTTTCCATTATTTTTCCGTAACAACACAGAATTTTTCAGACTCTTGGTGAATGAAATTTTGATGTTTTCTTTTTCAGAAACGGGTTGGAAAACATATCTGTTGTATTTTCCAATCCTGAAAAGAGAGTATCATGGGAAGAGTCATTCAACGAAGCCAAACAGAAACTAGGTAAACACTTCTTGGATTTGTATATATGACTTTGTTAAATTTTCATAATGAACAGAATACGTTCATTATTTATTATGATCTCTAAGCTAAGAGATCAGTGGTTATTTTACAACTTTAAAAAAAAAGTTAAAAAAAATGTTTTCTTTTAATGCTTTGTCATTGTTACGACACTCACTTGTCAACTTTCAGCAATATCCGGAGACAGAAAACTATGTCCGGAGCTATTAGCAACAGTCCCTATACGTAAAACTCGCGCTGGCCTCCAATTTACATGTGCAGCTCCTATACTAAGCGACAACAGTAAAGATGTGTGGGTTTGCAACAGTGACGGTTATGTGGGTCAAGTATGCATTCTCAGTTTACAACCTGAACCAACTGTCACATCTTGTAATGGTGTTTGTAACGCGAGGATTTTATGCATAGCATCAGTTCCTGGAGTCAGTTATAAGTAAGTGGAAATTAAACAGTATGCGTTTAATTAGTGCAATAGTTCTCTTAACAGAGGGAATAACAACAGAGAAGAAACAGAGGAACATAAAACAATTCAGTTTGATAGTGGTTCGTCCAGTGACGAAGATGACGAAAGTGATAACGAAGAGATTGATGAATCACAGAAGATCTTAGACACTTCTGATGTTTCAAGTTCAGAAATCGATGATATAGATAGTCAACAATCAACAATTTGGCTAGGAACGGAAGATGGGTGCATACATGTTTATAATGCGAGTGATAACATTAGGATTAAGAAGAATAAGATTCGGTTGCAGTTGGGCTCTTCAGTACTATGCATAATGTATTCAGTTTCTGACGTATCTTGCCAACATTCTGATATTATTAATTCTTTAGATATTTCGACAATCGTGTGTTTGTGTCATTAGCAAATGGGGATTTAGTAATTTACGACAGGGACGCCTGTAAGTATAATACATTTTTACCAAAAATGATTTTTCTCATGCTTTTTTTTCCAGCTGGTGGTTGGAACGTAAATTCTCCTACTACAGTAACCGTTGCGTCGACAAGTATCCCTATTTCAAAAATGCTTTCAAACTCTGGGAAATTATGGTGCGGTTGTGGTAGTACCATAAAAGTATTTAATACACAAACTCTCGCAACGGAGAACAACTTTATAGTTAATAATGATAGTAATAAACCTGTATCGTGTATTGTCTTATCAGGTAATGGATTATGGTTATCGCTGCAAAACTCAGCGATTGTGAAATGTTTCCATACTCTTAATCTTGACCACTTGTGTGAGGTGAATGTCGCACCGGCTGTAACGAAAATGTTGACAAGTAAAACCAGTTTTCCACTGATGTCAGCCATCGAATAACAATATTTTTTTAGGTTGTGATGACATAATTAGACAACATAAAGCAGCATGTTTGAGAGTAACGTCTCTGCTCGCATGTAAAGATTTGTTGTGGATAGGAACTTCTGCAGGGGTTCTTTTAACTATGCCCTTGCCACACATCACCTCAACCACTACAAAATTATCAAACATACCTCCCATAACAGGAGTTTCTCATGGACATACCGGTCATGTTCGCTTTTTAACCTACGTCGAAATGACGTCTAGTAATTCTGACGGACAACAACATAGGAATTCTTATAAAGGGAAACCTGATCAGAGGAGTAATACAAAAATGCTAGTGATATCAGGAGGTGATGGTTATGAAGATTTCCGAAGTTCCAATATGTCGGAAATTGCTGGTCGCGAAGATTCCACCAATCATTTATTGTTGTGGAATATTTGATAAGAAAAAATGGGAGTAAATTTTAAAATAACATTATATAGATATATGAATGTGGCATATCTGAACTATTTATATGTTCGAGTGATAAATGCATTTTTGTAAAATGTGTGATAGTAATATTAGGCTTGTGCATAACGGCGTTGTTTGATTTGCGGTGGTAGTGTTAATTTATCTTAAAGTTGCCTAACTTAATATGTTCCTAATATGTTGTTTGGTGGTAAAAACTGCATTATATACAAAATTATAATGCACTAGATAAACCCTTATGTTATTTTTTTAATGATGGCTCTATTTTTCCTTACATCGAAAATGAACTGTTTTATAATACATTCTTTTAGCCGTTTATAGTGCAGTCTATAAAACACTTGAAAAATTATTATCTTTATATTGCTCAATCTATGACAAATTCTATTATCAAATTGATAAAAATACAATATTTATTTATTTATTTTTATTTATTTCATTCCCGTACCTATGTAACACTGTAGAATAAATGTCAACAATGTCATGTTTGACGAAGATGCGTTTGATTAAAAACTAACCCCAAAAATTGAATAAAACCAAAGACTTTTTATGTTTTAAATACTTTTTATTAAAACGGGACCACAAATTAGGCGGTGACACTAGAGTGAGTATAAATTGAAGCGTATACAAACCTGGTTTTAGATTAAATCATATATATTTTAAATGTCCCTACAGTAACTCCTGGTTTCTTTTTATCATATGAATCAAATTGTGCTATTATCCAACAGATGTCGCTTTTTAAATATAAAAATTACTCTTTATTAAAGTAGCATCTAAAAGGGATCTGTCAATTTTACAAAAGACTTTAAAACACAAATCCGGTCCACTCCTAAAGAACAATCCATTAAACAAGTCAGGTTCCTTACACAATTGGGTAAATTTAATTTTTTTTATGACAAATGATATACAGCGCCTTTTTTTAACGCTAGCAAAAGGGATTTACGTAACATTTAGCAGAATATTAAACTGGTATTTTGTAAATCAGTTGCAGTTCATTTTATCATACAAAACAAGATAATTACGAAATTGTAATAAATTAATAAAAATTAGCTTACGCTGCTCGGGAAGCAAAAAGTTTATTAAATTCGTTATGTATTGCTTGACAACTGTGAATCGGTGGCAAAATTAATAAATGTATTAAACGAACTGAAATTGATTTATAAAATACTAGTCTAATAATTTCACTTGAAAATCGGTACTAGAAAACTCAATAACGGCACGTAAATCCTTATGGCCAGCGTTAAAAAAAAGGCACTGCGTACTATCGTTTCATACATTAATTTATTTTTGAAACATCTTTTATAGACCATTTTAATGCATTATTAAACCATACATAAAGGAGCACTCACTATAATAACAGCAACTAATATTATAAGTTTCAAGTCAGGATTATTTAACAAAATTTTGAAATGACGTAATAAAATTTTTGGAAGGGAAGATAGCTGAATTCTGATTAGCTATTTACCATGTTCGTCATAACCTTAAAGCATGTGCAAAATCTAATAAAATCTCCCACAGAACACAGACAACATTTTCGGGAAGATAAAATGGCCCGTTGGAAGTTGAACAGTCCATACAGGATGATTTTTTTAACCTGAAATTTTCAAATATGTACAAAAAATGTCCGAATTCAAAATTTAATCATTCCATGGAGGAAATACTTTGGTGTAAAAAACTAGTCCTTGTAAATGGGACAGGCGAGTACCTAACTTTGAAATTTTAAATAGGAACTTTTATTACATATACATTTTTGTATATTCAGGACAGATGATGCTGTAGTAAACGAAATTCAATTTTTGCGATTTACCTAGACATACAATTCTGCAGCAAAAAATACCACGTTTTCATTGTAAATAATCAAAAATGAGTCGCCACACTATTGAAGCTAATTTGAATGATGAAATGTACCGAGAAATTTTGGAAAATAAACTGCCAACATTACTTGAAAACTTGAGTTTAGAAGTGCGACAGAATATGTGGTTTCAGCATGATGGTTGTCCAGCACACCATTCGATGGTCACTGGATGGGTAGAGTTGGTCCGGTAAATACGCCTGCCCGATTACCAGATCTTAGTTCGCTAGATTTCTTTTTGTGGGGCTACCTCAAAGACAAAGTTTACAAACAAGAACCAACAAGACGTAAGAATATGATGATTGAGCGAATGAGAAATGCTTCTGCCGAAATTCAAGCAGACACATGTCTCAGTGCACATTCAATATGCATTGAATTCGAAGGACATCATTTTGAGCACTTACTTTAATTGAAAGATGATGACGCGAGGGGACTCATGTAAATTAAGCACCCTGATAAGAAGAGCGAAGAGACTCACATAAATGAAGCAGCCTGATAGGTGAAAACCGAGGGAACTCACCTAAATCAAGCATCCTGAGACGCGAAGGGACTCACCTAAATCAAGCACCCTGATACGTGAGGGGCAAGGGGACTCACGGCTTGCAAAGAGAACAGAAAACTACTTCGTGCACATCGTTGGTCCTGGCTTACGCTAAAAGTAGTTTATTCACCAGTCATTTACATTTCTACAGGTAACAATTTCCAAGTTATTCGAAATTTACAGTAAAAAAAATTGATTTAAAGAGTTTAGACAGTACTTCCCTCGCTGTCGGAAACTTGACGACTGCATGCCTATTGTGTTTTTTTCTCATTACATTTTTGTAGTGGGAATTTAAAAAAAAATTGCGATGACCTCATCAACATTTTTGCAAGGACACGTATATCAGTTTGGATAGATGTAGTGTAATACTAAGAATTAAGAATAAAATTATTGTATTCCCAAATTTTCGGGAAAATGAATTGGGTCGTTTTGAATATTGATTTGTTATAATCAATAAAATAACGAAACAATTTATTCACGTATACGGCGCCGGCGTGTAATATGAGAGACAACTGAAAATCGTTTATGTATAAGCATTCTTAATTTAAGATGACAAGCGTAACAGTGTACGTGAGAGTCAAAAAGAGAAACTGTAAACAAAACGACCATCGGTTTTATTGCTTCGACTTCCGCTTATTATATAAAACATTGGGTTTTATTTTAATTTTTGACGGTGGAATTCACAATTGGTTGATTATAAACATGTCTATACCACATTCGCGGAACTTAGTCAGCGCACAAAACAAATGCACGTCTGTAATGTTAAAGTAGATGTAAATAAGCGTGCTACCCTTATGTTTCAACCGAGTTTTTACTTTAAAAAATTTTGTGTCTACCAAATTGGGTTGGTCCAATGTAATACTAATAATAAGTGTTGCCTTTAATTTAATCAATAAAATAAATTGACTTCATTAATTTTTTTGAGCCACCTCTTAAGAAAATCTAAAAAATTGGTCTAAAGAGTTTAGACAGTACTTCCCTCGCTGTCGGAAACGTGACGACTGCATGCCTATTATGTTTTTTTTTCGCAGTGGATTTCAAAGAATTCGGTTTTGTAGTTCCTGATTAAATCAATAAAATATATTTACGCATTCATTAATTTTTTTGAGTCACTCTGTATATGCAAATCCAAAAAATATAAATGGAGTGATAAATGACAAGTACAGACTCATCATATTTTGTACATTTTAGATATGATTTATTCGGCAAACTTTCGAGCTGACGTCATCAAGTTTTTGGAGGGGATAAGCAAATATATTTTGACTAGACATTTATTATGCTCTTTATGACCTTAAAACATCTGCAAGATTTCAGAGCATTCGGTTTTGTAGTTCCTGATTAAATCAATAAAATATATTTACGCATTCATTAATTTTTTTGAGTCACCCTGTATATGCAAATCCAAAAAATATGAATGGAGTGATAAATTACAAGTACAGACTCATCATATTTTTACAGTTTAGATAGGATTTATTCGGCAAACTTTCGAGCTGACGTCATCAATTTTTTGGAGGGGATAAGCAAATATATTTTGACTAAACATTTATTATGCTCTTTAGAACCTTAAAACATCTGCAACATTTCAAAGCATTCTGGTTAGCAGATTAAAAATTAAATTTCAAAATGTTGTTTTATAATTTTGATTTTTTTTCCAAAAATCTGGACGTTTCGGGTGAAAAGTCGATTCGGAGTTGTAAACTACATGTGTAGGACTATGTTATTTTATACAATTGAAAACCCATTTACTATGTACAATTTTGAAGTGACGTCATCGCATTAGTGGTGGGGATGATTAGACAAATTTTGGTTAGCGTTTTACCATCTACAAGATATTCTTAATATAAGTACAAAATTTCACAACAATCGGTCGAGTACTTTCGGAGATTATCTGTCTAATAAAAATCCGGGACAACAGACGGACAGACGGACGGACAGACGGACGGACAGACGGACAGACGGCCGGACAGACGGACAGACGGACAGACGGACAGACAGACGGAAATGGGAGACCTATTTCTTCGTCTTCTAGGGGTCATGAAAGATCGAGAAAACGTAAAAGTAGAGAGTCGGCCGACGGACTCGATTACAATACTTCCTTTGCTTACGCTCGGGAAGTAAAAATATGAATGGAATGATAAATCACAAGTACAAACTCATCATATTTTTTGCATTTTAGATAGGATTTTTTCAGCAAAATTTAAGGGTGACGTCATTAATTTTTTAGGAGGGATGAACAAATACATTTTGAACAAAAGTTTACCATGCTTATAATAACTTTAAAATATCTTCAAGATTTCAAAGCATTCGGTTTTGTAATTCCTCATTAAATCGATAAAATAAATTCACGCATTCATTAATTTTTTTGAGTCACCCTGCATATGCAAATTAAAAAATATGAATGGAATGATAAATCACAAGTACAGACTCATCATATTTTGTACATTTTAGATAGGATTTATTCAGCAAACTTTTGGAGTGACGTCATCAATTTTTTAGGGGGGAAGAGCAAATACATTTTGATAAAAAATTTACCATGCTTATGATAACTTTAAACCATCTCCAAGATTTCAAAGCATTCGGTTCTGTAATTCCTGATTAAATCAATAAAATAAATTGAGGCATTCATTAATTTTTTTTCAGTCACCCTGTATTTGCAAATCGAAAAAATTTGAATGGAATGATAAATCACAAAAAGAGACTCACCATATTTTGTACATTTTAGATAGGATTTATTCAGCAAAATTTTGTGGTGACGTCATAAATTTTTTAGGAGGGACGACCAAATACATTTTGATCAAAAATTTATCATGCTTATGATAATTTTAAAACATCTTCAAGATTTCAAAGCATTCGGTTTTGTAGTTCCTGAGTAAATCGGTAAAATAAATTTTGCGCATTCATTAATTTTTTTGAGTCACCCTGTATATGCAAATCCAAAAAATATGAATGGAGTGATATATCACAAGTACAGACGCATCATATTTTGTACATTTTAGATAGGATTTATTCGGCAAACTTTTGAGCTGACGTCA